AGGATTTGAACCCAAGTCTTCCTGACTCCATTTCCAACACTTTTCCCTACATTCTTACTGAATTAAATATGTGCTTAATAAATGTTTGTTGACTTGAATGGGTTTTCTCCAGAGCACATCAGACATAATCTTTGGCAGCTTTAGATATGAAGATTAAGGATGGGCAGGGATCCTTTGTTCTTGCCAGTTTGCATATCCCTGAACATCATAATTAAGTTCAACAACATTTACTGAGTTTGAGCCAGAATTGGTTAATAAAGGAAATGATGACCTTTTTTGGAGACATATCTAACCTGTGAGGATGACCTTTTGGAGGGTAACTAATGCCTTCCCACAAAACTCCCTTTGAGGCCACTGTCAGAAACAGAATCCTAGGTTTGGAAAGACGTAGGGGAGAAGATTTTTTTCTTAACCTTTTCCCAAATGGTCTAGCGTTTTTTTTTTTATAGCTCCAAGGTGTTAAATGTGGGAAAACAGGTTAAACAATGGCACCAAAGACAGTGAAGTAAGAGAGAAAAGTAGGTAAGAGAATTAAAATGATGACAGATGACATTTATATAGCTCCTCAGGATTTGCCAAGCACTTTGGAAGGGAGGGAAAGAGAATAAGCATTTATGTGGGGCCACTGTATAGTAGTTTGAGGCACTGTCCTAAGTACTTTACAGGTATTATCTTATTTGATATTCACAACAACCCTGCCAATTAGGTGCTGTTGTTATCCCCATTTTACATTGAGGAAACTGAGGCAAACAGAGGTTAAGTGACTTGTCTAACATCACACAACTAATGTGTCCGAGGTTGGATTTGAACTCAGGTCTTGCGGACTCTAGGCCCAATGCTCTGTCCACTGTGCCACTTAGCTGCCCAGTTTGCACATATCCTTGCTGAAGATTGTGTACTGTCAATATTTTGCCTCTGCTTGAAGCTCTCCAATGAAGGAAAATGTGATCACTGCCCAGGGGAGCCCATTCCACCGTTCTGGTTGCTGGGCTGTTTTCCCTGATATCCAGCCCAAGTTTGGCTCTTTTTAACTTCTACCCATTGGTCCTGGTTCTACCCCTGTGGGCCAGACTAGACAAATTACATCTGTTCTCCACACATTCACCCCTCCAACTTAAAGACAGTGATTGTGTCCTCCCAGTTCTCTTCTGCAGGCTAACTGTGCCCCACTCGCTGTCCCCATGTGATATGGATGGAACACCTTTCACCATATTCTAATTGCCCTGCTGTAGGGTCTCCGGTTTGTCAATGTCCTTCTGAAACTCTAGTGGCCAGAAATGAGCACAGTTGTCCACACGTAGTCCAACAAGTCTGGAGAACAAAGGGATGGCCACCTGCTTCTCGCTTGAAGCTCTTCCTCTCTTAATGCAGCCTAAGATCACAGTAACTTCATGGCTGGTTGCACCACTCAGCTGACTCACACTGAGCTGGAAGTCCATTAAAATGCCCAGATCTTTCTCAGACAAGTTGCTGTCTGACCATTCTGCCTCCAGCTTCTATTTTTGGAGTTGATTTCTTGAACTCAAGTGTAAAGCTTTAGATTTATCTCTTTAAAAGTGAATTATATTCTATTTAGCTTATTGCAGGAACTAATCAAGATATTTTTTGGACCCTGACTCTGTCTTCCAGCATGTCAGTTGTCCCTCCCATTGTGGTATCATTTGCAGATTTGATGAGTGCATTTCTGTTGTTCTTTTTCTTTTTTTGTGTCTGAGGCAGTTGGGGTTAAGTGACTTGCCCAGAGTCACACAGCTAATGATTGTTATGTGTCTGAGGCCAGATTTGATTCCAGGGCCAGTACTTTGTCCACTGTGCTACCTGGCTGCCCCTGATGAGTGTACTTTTAGCCAAGTCATTGATAAAAAATGGTAAACCCCACAGGGCCCATCATGGGAGTTTGTAGTTAGAGAAAAAAGGTCTAGATTTTTTAAAAAATCCATTTAATATTTTATTTTCCCCCAATTAAATGTAAAAATAAATTTTTAACGTTCTTCTTTTAAATTTTGAGTTCCAAATTCTCTTCCTCTCCTCTATTGAGAAGGCAAGCAATTTGACATAGGCTATACATGTGCAGGCATGAAAAACATATTTCCATATTAGTCATGGTGTGAAAAGGAACACAGACAAAAAAAAATAAAGGAAAATAGAAGACAAAGAAAGAAAGTTAAAAAAGTATGTTTCAGTCTGCATTCAGTCTCCATCAGTTCTTTCCCGGGAGATGGATAGCACTTTTTGTCATAAGTCCTTAGGAATTGTCTTGGGTCATTGTATTGCTGAGAATAACTAAGTCGTTCACAATTGATCATCATACAAAATATTCCAGTTACTGTGTGCAGTGTTCTCCTAGTGTTGCTCGCTTCACTTTGTATCAGTTCATGTCAGTCTTCCCAGGTTTTTCTGAAAGCATCCTGCTCATCATTTCTTATATATGTGCATAGATAGACAGATAGGTAGATATAGATATAGATATAGATATATTCATCTATAGCACAATAGTATTCAATTACATTCATATACCACAACTTCTTCAGCCATTCCCCAACTGATGGGCATTCCCTCAATTTCCAATTCCTTGCCATCACTAAAAGAGTTGCTATAAATATTTTTTGTACATATAAGTCCTTTCCCTTTTTGTTCTTGATCTCTTTGGAATACAGACCTAGTAGTGGTATTGCTGGGTCAAAGTATATGCATGGTTTTATACCCCAAAGGTCTAGATCTTAAAGGCAGAACAATTCCTGAAAGTTGGTGAAGTTTAAGGTTTGACTCTAGCAGATGTGGTCTGATCAGGGCAGAGTACAGTAAGTCTATCAGCCACTTATTCCTGGAGCTCTGCTTCTCTTAATTTAGCCCAAGAACTCACTGTTTTATTTTGTCTGCCATGTCCCACTCTGGATTCATCTTGAGCTTGTAGCCCGTGAAAACTCCCAGATCTGTTTCTAACCAAACAAGGAATTAAAGTAGAAAAGGAAATTATTGAAGTTGGAGAGTTTGAGAAATTGTGGAGTCACTTCATTAGAGGGATCATCAGCATGAATGTTGACGTCCTAAAGGATGATGGCAGAGGATAGATGGGCTGGAGAAGTCCAGGGGCCAGGTACTGATGTCCTAATTCATCTTACCATTTATTTGGAGCGGTAAAACATATATATGGATAATTATGATAATTCGACAGGGTCAAATCATAGGGCCGTATGGGTAAGGTCAAAAGAGGAAAGTTGTTACCTATAGGATGGATCAGGGAAGGTTTCATGTTGGAAAGGAGACAATGGAATGTAAGAAATATTGCCAAGATAGAATAAACAGAATATTGACACCTAATTGTCTGTAAGATAGGAGAGGCAGTTAGGTGGTACAGTCGATGGAGCACTGAGCTTGGAGTCAGGAAGACCTGAGTTGAACTCGGGCCTCACTTACTAGCTATATGACCTCAGGCAAATCTCTTTGCATCAGTTTCCTTAACTGTAAAATGAGGATAATAGCACCTACTATGCAGGACTGTTGTGAGAATTAAATGAGATAATATTTGTAAACTGCTTAGCAAAGTGCCTGGCATGTAATAGGTGCTGTATAAATACTAGCAACTGTTATTATTATTGTTGTTAATCAGAGATGCCTGAAGTTTTAAGCCTGGGTGGCTGGCGCAATGGAAAAAATACTGGCTGTGGATACGGAAGGTTTTGTTGTTTTTAATGTTCAGTCATTTTGGGTTTGCCGTTTCCTTCTCCAGCTCATTTTACAGACGAGGAAACTGAAACAAATAGGGTGAAGTGACCTGCCCAGGGTTGCAGAACTAGTAAGTTTCTGAGGCCAGATCTGAACTCATTCCTGATTGCAGGTCCAGCACTCTATCCACAGAGGACTTAGGTTACCCTGGCTCTGGTGTTTACTGCCCGTGGGACCTCATGTTGCTTAACTTTCCTGGACTTCAGTTTCCTCATCTGTAAAACGAGAGGGTCAGAGATGACTGACTTTAGCTATGGAGCAATAATCCAGTGAGCCTATCGCTGCCATCTCCAGAAATATGCAATGACTTTAGGGCTTCCAGGATATATTCCTCCCATTCAATTCAATTCAATTGAAGAAGCATTTACTAATAAATATAAATTAATTTTGGTGGCTGGTGGGAGGAGTAATACTAACTAAAACCAGGAAAGACCTCTTATAAGAGATGGCACTTGAGGAGAGCCTTGAGAACCAGGGATTCCAGGCACAGGAGGCAGCCTGTGCAATGGCACGCGTATTGGAGATGGAATGGTGTGTATGGAGAGCAACAAGTAGTCCAGCTTGGCGGGAGCATAGTGAGCGAGGAGAGTGACGTGAAAGCATCTTGGAAAGATGGGTTGGATCTACATTAAGACAATTTTAAGTGCAGAAAAAAGAGGTGTTGGGTTTTTTTTAATTATCGTAAAATCAATAGGGAGTCACTAAAGCTACTTGAGCATTGCAGTGGCGTGGTCAGGTCTGTGCTTTAAGGAATATCAGTTTAGATTTATGTGGAATATAGACTGGAGAAGGGGAGGCCAGTGAGGAGGCCACTGCAGTAACTGGGGGGGTGCTCATGAGGGTGAGAAGATATGGACATAATGAATGTATACAGGAGTCGGCTGATGTTTGACATGGAGGTGAGGAAGAATCAAGAGCTGACAGCTGCTGGGTTGTAAATCTGGGTAACTCAAAAAGATATGGTTCTCTCCAAAGAAGGAGGTAAGTTGGAGAAAGAAGAGGCGGGCTTAAGGGAAACGATAATGATTTCTGTTAGGGACATAGTGAGTTTGAAATAACTAGAGGTCATCCAGGTGGAGGTGTCTAGAAGGCAGTTGCTGATGGAGGACTGAATCTCAAGAGAGAGATGAAGTATGAATATGGAGATTGGGAGTCATCTTCCCAGAGATGGGAGTTCCATCCTAATCTCAGATTTGAATTAGTTGAACTGTTTTTTAAATTTACTATTATCTCCAAAATCCAGTTACGATATGATGGTTATTTTTTTTTTCCAGGCTCAGGCTGCATGAAGAAAAAGTGATTAAAGATCGAAGACACCACCTCAAGACATATCCAAATTGCTTTGTGGCCAAAGAACTAATTGACTGGCTGATTGATCGAAAAGAAGCTTCTGATAGAGAGACAGCTATTAAACTAATGCAAAAATTGGCAGACCGGGGTATTATTCATCATGGTAAGTCAGATTTTAACATTTCAGTTTTATAAATATTAAATCAACAGATCAATTTGAATAGAGGACATCATTCCCGATCTCAAAGAAGAAAAATAAATCAAGATGTTTCATATTCATCTTTAGTTGACAAAATAATGTGTTAGAAGCTTCTCTTGCAGGCTGTTCCTTGAAATGGCTTTTCAGTTTTTGAGTCCCCTAATCCTTCTTGCAGAGGAAATGAAAATAAGTGATCTGTTGTTCTCCCAACACTTTTTACATTTCATGTTTTGAAGGCTTATGCAGTCTCCCAGCCCTTGTTTCGCAGACTATTATAAATGCACAGATACTTTGGGGCAGCTAGGTGGTGTAGTAGATAGAGCACCAGGCCTGGAGTCAGTCAGAAAGACTCCTCTTCTGAGTTCAAATCTGGCCTCAGAAACTTACTAGCAAGAAACTTCAAGTCACATCACCTGGTTTGCCTAAGTTTCCTCATCTGTCAAATGAGCTGGAGAAGGCAGTGGCAAACCACTCCAGTGTCTTTGCCAAGAAACCCCAGATGGAGTCACAAAGATTTGGACACAACTTAACAACTGTGGTACCTTAGATGTGTCCATAGTAACCACTTCATAAATGTGCATTGAATTGAACAGAATTACACCAAACACACGCATACAGCCCTAATTTAAACAAGTACTTTGTTCTTTCAAGTACTAATCTTTTACCAGCCCTTGTGATCCTGCTTAGATAATTCCTTTTTTGCCTTCATTATACAGTTTCATGCTGTGTACTCTACAGACGACTGTATAATTGCTCAATTTTCTGCTTCGTGTTAAGTCTAGAGAATTGAACTATGACACGTAAGTTGAAAAAACTGAGAAGGGTTACATAATTTGCCCAGTCACACAGCTAGTAAGTAGCAGCCAGTGTATATGGACTCTCACTTGATGATAACCTTAGGGTTTTAATATATGTACAATTCACTCATAATTGCGGGGAGTGGAATTTTTTTATTCCACACATAGAATAAGAATTATTTCACAACATAAGTATATCAGCCTTCTCCACTGAATTTACTTTGCATGTATATTGTCTTGCAGTGTGTGATGAGCATAAGGAATTCAAGGATGTCAAACTCTTCTACCGCTTCAGGAAAGATGATGGAACCTTCCCTTGGATAATGAAGTGAAAGTATTCATGAGAGGACAGAGATTGTATGAAAAGTAGGTTGCATCAGAAATCCTTTGCTCTATTCTTGATGATATAATTGGCCAGAAAGCTCTTTTAAAGAGTGATGAGGTAATTTTGATAGCGTGCCGAGCCTGAACTCAGGAAGATTCAACTTCGTGACTTCAAATCTGGCCTCAGACACTTAACTAGCTGTGTGACCCTGGGCAAGTCATTTGGCCTGTTTGCCTCAGGTCCTCATCTATAAAATGAGCTGGAGAAGGAAATGACAAACCCTCCAGTATCTTTGCCAAGAAATCTCCCAGTGGGGTCATGGAGAGTTGGACACAACTCAACAATAACAAAGGGTGATTTTTGTGCTGCACAATGTTTAGTGCATTCCATATGTTTTCTATGGAACCACTAGTTAACTGCCCTTTTTAGTATAAGCAAACTAGACCACTCACTTGGTTTTCTTCTTGCAATAAAAAGGAAATGCATTTAGGAAGATTCTTTAGTAAAAACTGTTATTTCAGTTATATGTCCCATAATTGAATAGCTTTTGCAGATTTCTAAAAGCAAAAGAAAGAAGATGGAGTTTTAAATTTCCATTTAAAATGAGAGCTTATTTGCAGATGCAGATTTTTTTCTCAGTTAATGACTATCAAATACTTGGGACACATGGGGATTTTGCTTAGGAAGAGGGTTTTAATTTGGGGTAAAATTGATGCTGAAGAAGAATCACAGCACACATGTCCCTTAGTACTGTTATTCAGCCCTCATGAATAATGATCTACTCATAGATTTTCAATCTGGTCATTGCTGCCAAGACCCTTTCCACTGCTGTTCTGGATTCCTAGGGTTGGTAGAGAAATTCTGCCCCAAGTGGCACCCTCTCCCTGACTCTGAGAATAGAATTTATTGGGAGGCAGCAAGATGCCAATTAACTGGCTTCAGAATTGTCTGAGACTTTCTTCTGACACATAGAATTGGGCTGTGTGACACTAGGCAAATCATTCCTTATTTTACAGAGGAGGAAATTGAGGCAGACAGGGGTTAGGTGACTTGCTCAGGGTCACACAGCTAGGCACAACTTGAATTCAAATTCTCCTGACTCTAAGTCCATTATTTCCTGTGCCATCTTAGTGACAACTCTCTGGGATTATAAATTACAGAAGAGTTGCTGATATACTTTGGTGAAGGGAGTTTCCTCACTGGGAGTTCTCTAAACCAGTGAAGTTTGGCTATTTACTCCCATACTAAATCATTTCAGATTATTGTGGTCTTGAGTTCTTGTGTTTGCTTTTTATAATTTTTCTGCATCCTCTTTTTTTTTTTTTTGGTAGCACAGGGAATAGATAGATAGAGTACAAGATTTCAATTCAGGAAAACCTGAGTTCAGAATTGTCCTCAAGACAATTTTTGAGCAGACAGACCCTGGGCAAGGCATTTGACTTTCTCAGCCTCTGTTTCCTCATCTGTAACATGTGGATAGTAATAGCACATACCTCCCAGGTTGGAAGATCAAATGAGATAACATATGTAAAACTCTCTGCAAATCTTAAAGCTGTATGGAGACACTAGGCATTATTAGATTTTATTGCTAATCTGCTATTCTATCAGCTGCTGTCTTCTTGTTGCTAACACTGTGCTTGCCTCTAGTAGAGTCCTACTTTTTCCTTTCTAATCAAGATAGTATAGGCAACTATAGTTGGTGGCAAAGTGGTGAAAGTACTGGTCCTAGAGTCAAACTTCATGATTTCAAATCCGACCTCAGACACTTACTAGTTGTGTGACCCTGGGCAAGTCATTTAACCCTGTTTGCCTCAGTTTCCTCTTCTGTAAAATGAGCCGGAGAAGGAAATGGCAAACCACTCCAGTATCTTTGCCAGGGAAACCCAAATGGGGTCATGAAGAGTTGGACGCGACTGAAACAATCAAACAACAAATCAAGATAGCACAACCCCCCAATCCCACGAGAACCAAAACGCATCCCACTCCCTCCATGATCTCTTTGTTGTTCAGTGATCTCAGGGCTTGGCAAAAATGAAAACTAGCTCTTCCTAATGAAAAAGTTTGGAATCTAAATGTGTGTATGCCATCCCCTGGACTCTATAGAAGCTACATAATAGCAAGTGCAGAAGGTGCCTGAGGTCTTCAGTATGGAAAGTAGGGGAAGATGTATTGACCTGGATACAAAAATATGCACATGCCCAGGAGCTAACGCTGCCACAAATTGAGGTAGAACCCTTTGTCCAGCTCGACCTCATGTTATGTGCCTGGGTATTAAACTGTTCAGCCAACAAACACAGCAGACCTTCTTGTTAGTTCCAGCTCAGTCGCAGTTATTTTTTCTGGTTTTGATCCTGTTTCTACCTAGGCTAGCACCTCCCACCTCTAGCCCTCTCAATTCCATGACTTCTTAGCTGATTTCCTGATTGGTCCTTTGGACTTGGTATCTCAATTTTGACCCTCACCTATGGCTGTGCATCCAAGAGTCAACTGGGGAGACCAGATTAGAGTTTGGGATGGAGAGAGGGGAGGATAGGTGAATATGTTTAGAGATGATTGAGCCCATGGGAGCTGATGAGGAAGTAAAGAAAAGAGAAAGCCCAGAACAGAGGTATGTACATCTACATAAAAGAAGTGGGGCATGGAGATTGATCCAGCAAAGGAGACTGCAAAGGAATGGTGAGATAGGAAAGTGAAAAAGCAAGAGAGCCTAGTGTCATGAAAACCCCTGGAGAAGAGAGCATCTTGGATGAGGGAATGGTCAACAGTATCAAAAGCTTGAGCGAGATCAAGAAACAGTATGCAACAATTTAATTCAAGTCAGTGAAGTATTATTAAATGTCTACTCTGTGCTTAGTGCTAGGGATACAAATAAGAAAAAGAAAGGCAGTCCCTGACCTCAAGGAGCTTACAATCTAATGAGGAAGACAGTATCCAAAAGGAAGCTGAAAGAGGTGGGGGTAGGTGGGTGGGAAGAATGGGAGAGGGGCGGGGGGCGGGTAGAACCTGGTGCAGGGATGTGGTGTTCCATGGAGTCAAAGCCAAGCTGAATTGCTGGTGGAAAGTGGAGAGTTACCTGTTACACAGGAAGATGGTGATCTGTGTAGTCAGATAGCCTGGACTATCATCCCACCTCTGCCATTTGCTATCAGTGTGACTATGGGCATCCCTCTCTTGGCTTTGGGTTCCTGAACTATTAAATGAGGGATGGCTTCTGAGTCTGTTCCAGTTTTAAATATTCCTGCGATTCAGGAAAGGCCATTAGGTTTGAGATTGATGAGAGAAAAGTTTCAGTGATCATTGGAAGCCAGACTGCAAGGATAATTTGAGAAGTCAGGGGGAAGAGAGAAAGTAGAAGCAACAAGGGTCAGTTCCCCCTACCCCCCCACCCAGATATTTGGCAGTGAAAGAATGGGAGTATAGAACAATAGCTTGAGGGGGTGGAAGAGCCTAATGAAGGGTTGTTACTGTTATTGATAATGATAATAATAACTGACATTTATTTAGTACTTTAGAATTTGCAAAGCATTTTACATGCATTATCTCATGTGAGCCTCACAACAACTTGGTGAGGTGGGTACAACAAATATTATCTTCTCCATTTTACAGATAAGGAAACAGAAGCTCAGAATCTTGTCTCAACTGAACCAAAAGACATGGACATTTTCTCCACACCTTAGGACCAATTTGAAAGGGATCAGTATACTGTATAGTAATGGTGACATTGATCAGACCAGTTTAAGAAATTAGAGAGATGGGGCAGGGAACTGAGGGTTGGTGGGGGGCAGAGAGAGAGGCAAGAGAGTTGAAGACAGCTGAGTGAGGATTGATATTTCATTTCATTGAGAATCTCTGCGCCTTTCTCATAAGAGTGGACATGATATCTCAATCCTCATTCAACTGGTTTCAACCATCTTGGGTTTCTCTTTCTCTTTCTGTCCCTGCTTCTGTCTCTTTCTGTCTCTCTGTCATTGTCTTTCCATCTCTGGCTGGCTCTCTGCCTGTCTCTCTCTCCTGGATCTCCCTAATTTCTTAAACTTCTCTGGTCACTATAACCATTACTCTGTAGTATATGCTGCTAGGCTGTGAGATAGGCAGGGCAAGAATTGTTACCGATGAAAATGAGGTGGAGAGATACCATGTGACCTGCCTATGATCCCACAATGAGTGTGTGTCAGAGGCAGAACTTGCACCCAGCCCTTCTGACTCCTGGTTACTCCTCATTCACACCACCATATCCTCTCTAATTTGTTTGCCTCGTTCTCTGTGTTTGTTTTGGTCCTTTTCTTCTTCTCATTTGTTTTGTGTTATTAATAGTTCTTTGTGAAACTGTAGTTTCTGGCTGAGGTTTTACCGAAACTTGCTGAGTTCTTGCTCTGTGGTTTACATTGCCTTTTCTTTATACTGTGTCTTGGAGCTCGTTCATGGGTGGAAAAGTGTCCTAAAACAGAGCCAAGGGTTTTTCCTTCCTCTTTAGTTGATATATGGTGCTGATCACCCTAATTTCTGGGTATACTACATAATATGTACATAAGAAAAAAAATCCCAGTTTTTAAAATGAGGAATTCTATGGAATGTGACTTGTAGGATAAACTACCATGGGCCAGTCTATCCCTCTTGCTCCTACCCCTGTTGTCATAGATGTCCTAGCTGGCTGCTGCAGGGAGGGCTGGCTTCTTGGACCACTTCCCCCTGACAGCAGCAGAAGGAAAGTCTGGAGATTTAGGCATAACATAACTGGAGGGTTTGAACTAGATGACCTCTGAAGTCCCTTTCAGCTCTGGACCAATGTCCCTTTGATCTCTGGGATTCATATTGTGAGGAATCCATCAGAATTATTTTATCTAAATTCATAAGAAGGTTTTATTTTTATTTTTCAATCCATAGGCCATCCTGATTATCAGTTAGGATTCAAAAGCATTTCATTTCAGATAACTCTGTGGGTTAGCCTTCATTTCTGCATTGCACACAGAGGATTTTAAGCTAAAAAGTGCTGTAGAGATATGTCACCCAACCCTTTCATTTTATAGATGGGGAAATTGAA